GTTGAAAAACTCGACCTACAGCATTCGTCCGGTACGCGTCCACATGTCTGTCCACCTGAGCGTGCTTCAGCTGGCCTGCCTTCAGTTGGTGTGCCAGTGTTTACAAGCCAGAGCGGTCGCTCCCACACATACATTCAGAATATTTTGTATTATTCCAGTGTTTTCAGTGCTTCTAACTGCTAAATAAGCCACCAGGAGCCCAGCTGATGGCGCTACAGCAGCAGCTGCTGCTGCTGTAGCGCCATCAGCTGCTGCTGCTGCTGTAGCACCATCAGCTACTGCTGCTGCTGTAGCACCGTCAGCTGCTGCTGCTGCTGCTGCTGTAGCACCATCAGCTGCTGCTGCTGCTGTAGCACCATCAGCTGCTGCTGCTGCTGCGGTAGCACCATCAGCTGCTGCTGCTGTAGCACCATCAGCTGCTGCTGCTGCTGTAGCACCATCAGCTGCTGCTGTTGCTGCTGTAGCACCATCAGCTGCTGCTGCTGCTGTAGCACTGTCAGCTGCTGGTGCTACTGTATCACCATTGTTGGTGTGGCCTTATTGAGAATACCAAGAAACAATTAACCCCAGAGGGTTAGCCACCCAGGAAACTCAAAAAAGTTAGTGTGTCATCGAGGACTGTCTAACTTATTTCCATTGGGGTCCTTAATCTTGTCTCCCAGGATGCGACCCACACCATACGACTAACACCCAGGTGAACAGGGAAAAATGCCTGGAATTAGTGCTCATATTGGTGAATTTAAAGCCAACAAAGGTTGGTTTGAGAGATTTAAGAATCATAGTGGCATACACAGTGTGATAAGGCCTGTTCTGGAAGAAAATGCCAAACAGGACCTACATTACTCAGGAGGAAAAGGCACTCCCAGGACACAGTGTTTCATCAGTTATTGCTGCATCTTCAATAAAGGTAAGTGTCATTTATTCTTCATTTAGTATAGTACATGCACAATATATATTGTGCATGCACTACTCTACTATTGTGCATGTATCCTTCTTTTTGTGTGTAGGAAAATGTATATTTCATGCGGTAACTTTTTTTTTTATACTTTTGGGTGTCTTGCACAGATTAATTTGATTTCCATTATTTCTTAGGGGGAAAATTAATTCAACCTATGATCATTTCGTCTTCGATCGGCTCTCAGGAACGGATTAATATCATAGGTCAGGGGACCACTGTAGTATTGGCAAGCAAGTAGTAAAAGGTGCACATGGATTCAAGGCAGTGAATGACCGTTTGAGCTTGCTTGTGTGTGCTAGCATCACATTAAAACACAGAATTCCTGTGTTTTAAAATGTAAAGACGGTTTGTTGAGTGATTCAAACATTATTTTATTCCTTCAGTCAAGATGTACCTGCTCTAAACAAGCCTTTATTTCAAGGTTCTTGTCACTCTTAACAAGTTCCAGAGCCATTCTCAATTTTTTAAATCTTTTTTTCTTTTTTCTTTTAAACACACTAGCTGTCTCCCACTGAAGCAGGGTAACCCAAAAAAGAAAGAAATATCTTCACCATCATTCAACATTTTCACCATCATTCAACATGTTTTTACCACTAAATAAATCTTTATCCAGATATGAGTGTGGGGAAGTGTATGAGGCAGTGGACAGAATGATAAGGGTAAAGCAACTGTCATAGAAGGGATTAAGACAGAGACATTAAAATCTGGTTGAGATACAACATAGTTTTTGAGTGGTTGGTAAATTTATATACTAATACATGTATATGTATGTAAGAAGGGAAGTTATAAACCTAAAAATTGACAAAGGATGTAGATCCTTTGTATAACTGAAAGGGGACAAGGGAGAAAGTAAGAATTATAACGAAATAAGCCTGCTGAATACACTAAGTAAAATATATTCTAGAATTATTAATGAAAGAGATAAAACAGATAGTAGGACTGCAATGGAGTAAGGAGGATTTAGGAAGGTAAGTGATGTGTAGACTAAGCACTGACAATGAAACAAATGAATAAGACTTAGATTTATGAATTGAGAAAAGGCATATGGTAGGGTGGACAGAGGAACAATGTGGTAGATGTTGCAAATGTATGGAATAGGTAGTAGGTTACTAGAAGTAGTAAAGTTTTCATATGGAGAGTAAGGCTCAGATTAGGGTATGTAAAAGTGGCCTTAGACAAAGATATGTGATGTCACCTCAGTTGTTAAACATATTTATAAAACGGATTGTCAAAGAAATTAATGCTAGTGTGTTAAGAGTGAAGATGTCATGTTTAAGAGCAATGTGTGTAAATATTATGCAGAGAATATGGTATATAGAAATTAACCCTTTGAGGGTTTCGGCCGTACTAGTATGGCTTACGACCCAGGGTTTTCGACGTACTAGTACGCCTAAATTCTAGTGCCCTCAAATCTGGTGAGAGAAAGCTGGTAGGCCTACATATGAAAGAATGGGTCTATGTGGTCAGTGTGCACAGTATAAAAAATCCTGCAGCACACAGTGCGTAATAATAAAAAAAAAACTTTGACCGTGTTTTTGGAATAAAACAGCGACTTTGCACTGCATTTTCGTATGATATTTATTGTTGTATTCTACTTTTCTTGGTCTCATTTTATAGAATGGAAGACATATTACAAAAATTGAGATGATTTTGACTGGTTTTACAATGAAAAGTACCTTGAAATTGAGCGCAAAGTAGCAGAAATGTTCGATTTTTATCAAAGTTCAAAAGTAAACAAATCATGCCAAGCGTCCAATACACATCAACTGGTGAGTCTAATATTCTTTCACAAGTACGCTGATATTATTTATACCATTTCTACACTAATGCAGTAGTCTGCATAACAGTAAATCTTCTATTTTTTGTAAGAATAAAAATTCAAAGTGGAAAGCCATAGAAATATAAGAGGGGCCTGGGGATGTGACTAACGAACAGAGAACTTGTTATTTTAGTGCCAGGAATGTCTTTTTTGTTTATTCTGGACCCTATTTGGAAATTGGCATCTTTTGAAATTTGTGTGAAATTGGCAAAATTGCTAAATTCTGACCACTTTATTGTATAGTTGAAATTGGTATATGGGTGGTTTCTTGTACTCATTCGATAGAAAAAATTGAGTTCTAGCAAAATAGTTATGATTTGTGTCGACTATTACATTGGAATTGGCCGAAAATAGGGCTCAAAGTGGGCAAAATCGCCGACGCGTAAACATCATCGAGACTGCTAACTTCACGAGAGCATAATTCCGTAAGTTTTCCATCAAATTTCATACTTTTGGTGTCATTATGATCGGGAAAAGATTCTCCATCTTTTCATAAGAGTTTTTTTTTTTTTTTTTTTTTTTTTTTTTGAAATTTGGCTGACCCTGAGAACAAGTTTCGGAGAGGGCCTGTCGACCCTCAAAGGATTAAAAGATGGAGTGGGGTTACCAAAGATATAATTCAGAAGACTGAGAAAGGGTTGTTAAGGTGGTTTGGGTATTTAAATTAAAGAGGATGAAGCAGAATTGGATAAGCAAGAGATTTATAAATCTGGGGTGAAAGGAAGGAGGGGAAAGGATCACCCCAGGAAGGGTTGGAGGGAGGTGATAAAAATATTGAGTGCTCCTTAAACCAGTTCTATTCACAGATGACACTACTTACATCTACGCCCACTCAAACTCAGCTATATGTAAGGCACTGTAAACAACAAGCTGCTAAAAATATATACTTAGATGACCAACAAACTCACTCTCAACATAGACAAAACATGCTGTTTGGAAACAGCCTTAAAATATCCAACTTAATATATCGATAAATGGTTCTCCCCTTAACAAGACACACAGAGGGTAAATTTCAAGGTCTTCAACTTGGCTGTAATCTTAAATTTCATTCCCACAGCCAGTATATATCCAAGAAAATTTCCAAATCAGTAGGCATCCTTTCCAAGATATGGTACTATGTGCCCCAAATGACACTCCTTACCCTATACCACTTTTTAATATATCCCTACCTCACCTATGGTATTTGTGCCTGGGGATCAACCAGAGCTACCCACCTTAAACCTTTCATAACCCAACAAAAAGCTGCTGTGTGGATGATTACCAACTCCTGTGCTAGACAGCACACCCCACCCCTTTTCAAAAGCCTGAACCTACTAAATGTACGAGACATACATTCATGTTACTGTACCTACTATATATACAGAACATTAAACTCCAATATAAACACTCCACTTATACTTCTCCTTGATAGCTACAACAGAATACACAGTCACAATACAAGGCACAAGGCACTCTTCGACATCCCTTGTGTCAGTCTCACATTATGCAAAAATGCAATGCACATAAAGGGCCCAAAGATCTGGAATTCAATACCTGAACTGGTTATGGATCCCCTGACTACATACAAATTTAGGGATATGCTTAAAAATCACCTCATCTCTCAATACAAACCAAACCAACCAAAACAACTTCTAATCAGTTTGAAGCAACTCCCAAATATTATATTATATGACCTCTAGCCTATTACAACATCTGCCAATCTATAAAATATTACTGTTTGAACCATTAATTGTAATACTGTTTTTATTATGTGCAACTTCAACATCATTATTCTTATAAACTTCCACCCTGACTACCTCGCATTAGTATTAAGATAAAATAAGGATTTATTAAAAAGTTAACCATACTTATCTTGTCTAAACTTAAGTAGTTATTATGTACTAGGATTAATTTGCCCGAAATGCCCCGGCATGATAGTGGCTTTCTTGTAATAAACAAATCAAAATTGCAATTACTCCTTGTAACCTTCACAAAGAAATAAAATCTTTAATCTTTTAATCTTTAATCTTTAATCAGGGCTTGAGCATCCAGAAGGCTTGTGTGAACATGTTAGATAAGACTGAATGGACACGAGTGGTTTTTATGGCTTTTGTGAGCAAGGTACTGTAGCATTTATGAAGGGATTCAAGGAAAACTGGTTAGGTGGATTTGAGTCCCAGAGGTGAGAGATGCACTACCTGCACTGTACAAACTAAATATTCTAACAGTCAAATAATAACTTACATAGGTTAAGATCAGATACTTCAGTAAGGCGGTTCTCTAAGAGCCAAAGGAGCTTCTTTTCATTGCGGTATCGAGGTTTTATACGTCCAGTAGTTAACTCAGCAATGTGCCAGAGCCGCTTATCTGTAGAAACGTTTCTCCATAATCTGCATACTCTAGATGTTCTGCAATAATCAATCACTTTAATAACTAGAAAATGTAAAAATTCTTTGTTTTATATTATTTCAAGCATATGGATATACAGCATATATAATAATTTAATTAGATGCATGGAAACATGAAATCTCAGGGTATGATTGCAGGCTAGGTCAAAAGGCAATTGTGCTTTTGGGATGTGCACAGAATGACATTAAAATGCATTCTAAACAAGCTAATATGATGAACAAAAGAAAAAACTTAACATCAGCCCATCAGATCATGTAAAAATATGTGATCAAAAGAAAAAACTTAACATCAGCCCATCAGATCATGTAAAAATATGTGATATAAAGCTGTACAAATGCATAAAAAACAAAGATCAATTTACCCATATTTCAATATTTATAACCAATAATCTTGACATCTGTAACAAAAATACATGAATCTTAAGTTACAAACTCTTCATATGGGATAAATGATGACATAAGCTGACAGGTACTTGATAAATGTCCAGTCCTGAATGAGACAATGCAATAAGTCACACAACAGAATAGGTATAGTATAGTGCATTGGCACTGACATACTGTACTCAACACCTCATACACCATTTGGAAAAGCAGGCAAATCCAAAAAGAAAATCAAAATATGTCCAGTGTTCATGCCTATGACCCATCATATATAACACTGTACATCAAAAACCTAAACAGTAATATGAAAAAATCAAACAGTGCTAAAAAATTGCACATTTATCACCTTACATAGCAAGATCAATAGGAACACATTTTGCAATAAAGTAGCAGAAGTTTTGATAGCAGAGTGAATTCCAGAAAGTAGCCACACAAGGAAGAACTTTCTAGATTCAGCAACCCTTTCATTGTCCATTTCATTGATTCCTGTTATTGATGTCAGGGCCCCTTGTGTAGATTCACGTTTTGAGCTTAGCTCCCTCAGATAAGTTGTGGGCAGTAAATTATGGCCTAGACATGAGAGAATGGGGCTGTGCAGTGTACACAGAATAAAAAAATATATCCTGCCCTATGCAGTGCATGATGGGAGAAGCAAAATTCTGACTTAGTGTCTGGTTTAAAATAGCCATGTTGAGGTGTTTTTAGGATTTTTTTTTATGGGTTTATTGACTGTTTCTTGGTAACGTTTGACAGAACGAAAGATATACTACTGATATAGAGATGATTTTGGTTGGTTCTACGACAAGATGTAACTTTAAATCGGCATCAAAGTAGCAGAAATATTTGAGTTTGCTGATTTCCTGAGGACAGGTAAGGCCCTCCTACACCCCCAGTTTGTTTTACGGGCTTTTACTAGGTCTAATTCAATTATTGGGATGCCATAAACCATGATCCATCACTTGTGGTTATATTTTATTATCCGAGAAATAGGCTAAATTTAATAACCTTCAGGGGGCAAGGCAGACCAAAATGCGAATTTGAAAGTGATTTCGTATGAGGGGATAGAGCCGCTCGATGTAACGTCAATGAGGCCATATAAATGGAGTTGTAAAAGTTACGTGTCGAGCAATTGCAGATATGCGAAGTTCGAGTAAACTCAGACCTGCCCGTTAAGGTATAACAATTTAAAATGTTGCAAGGTTGCAATTGTTAAAAAAAAAATAACTATTTTTTAAATTTATTATACAAGTAGACAATAAAAAAAACATAAATGGAACTTGTTTCTGAACATTTTGTAAGCATTAACAAAATAGAAATAGGAACTACTTATCAACAATGACACATTGCAATGGGATACAACTTACAAATAAAATATTCCTGAGTTTCCTGAGAAAGAACAATCATTTTACATCAACAATTTCTGCAATGAAACTTTATGAAACAATTTCTATCCTTCTTGATGCATAGATTTACTTTGCATGTGGCACAGTGTCATGCCCCTATTGTTAACCTTTCTTTAATATTACATTGCGGTTATTTCCTTTAATAGCTAAATTGGAAATGAACATCCTTGTATTTTTTTTTTTTTCAACAAGTCGGCCGCCTCCCACCGAGGCAGGGTGACCCAAAAAAGAAAGAAAATCCCCAAAAGGAAAATACTTTCATCATCATTCAACACTTTCACCACACTCACACATTATCACTGCTTTTGCAGAGGTGCTCAGAATACAACAGCTTAGAAGCATATACGTATAGAGATACACAACATATCCCTCCAAACTGCCAATATCCCAAACCCCTCCTTTAAAGTGCAGGCATTGTACTTCCCATTTCCAGGACTCAAGTCCGACTATATGAACATAACCAGTTTCCCTGAATCCCTTCACTAAATATTACCCTGCTCACACTCCAACAGATCGTCAGGTCCCAAGTATCATTCGCCTCCATTCACTCCTATCTAACACGCTTATGCACGCTTGCTGGAAGTCCAAGCCCCTAGCCCACAAAACCTCCTTTACCCCCTCTTTCCAACCCTTTCGAGGACGACCCCTACCCCTCCTTCCTTCCCCTATAGATTTATATGCTTTCCATGTCATTCTACTTTGATCCATTCTCTCTAAATGACCAAACCACCTCAACAACCCCTCTTCTGCCCTCTGACTAATGCTTTTATTAACTCCACACCTCCTAATTTCCACACTCCGAATTTTCTGCATAATATTTACACCACACATTGCCCTTAGACAGGACATCTCCACTGCCTCCAACCGTCTCCTCGCTGCTGCATTTACCACCCAAGCTTCACATCCATATAAGAGTGTTGGTACTACTATACTTTCATACATTCCCTTCTTTGCCTCCATAGATAATGTTTTTTGACTCCACATATACCTCAACGAACCACTTACCTTTTTTCCCTCATCAATTCTATGATTAACCTCATCCTTCATAAACCCATCCGCCGACACGTCAACTCCCAAGTATCTGAAAACATTCACTTCTTCCATACTCCTCCTCCCCAATTTGATATCCAATTTTTCTTTATCTAAATCATTTGATACCTCATCACCTTACTCTTTTCTATGTTCACTTTCAACTTTCTACCTTTACACACATTCTCAAACTCATCCACTAACCTTTGCAATTTTTCTTTAGAATCTCCCATAAGCACAGTATCATCAACAAAAAGTAACTGTGTCAGTTCCCATTTTGAATTTGATTCCCCATAATTTAATCCCACCCCTCTCCCGAACACCCTAGCATTTACTTCTTTTACAACCCCATCTATAAATATATTAAACAACCATGGTGACATTACACATCCCTGTCTAAGACCTACTTTTACCGGGAAGTATTCTCCATCTCTTCTACATATCCTAACCTGAGCCTCACTATCCTCATAAAAGCTCTTAAAAGCATTTAGTAACTTACCACCTATTCCATATACAGTGGACCCCCGCTTAACGATCACCTCCAAATGCGACCAATTATGTAAGTGTATTTATGTAAGTGCATTTGTACGTGTATGTTTGGGGGTCTGAAATGGACTAATCTACTTCACAATATTCCTTATGGGAAAAAATTCGGTCAGTACTGGCACCTGAACATACTACTGGAATGGAAAAAGTTCGTTAACCGGGGGTCCACTGTACTTGCAACATCTGCCACATTGCTCCTCTATCCACTCTATCATATGCCTTTTCTAAATCCATAAATGCAATAAAAATTCCCTACCTTTATCTAAATACTGTTCACATATATGCTTCAATGTAAACACTTGATCTACACATCCCCTACCCACTCTGAAGCCTCCCTGCTCATCCGCAATCCTACATTCTGTCTTACCTCTAATTCTTTCAATTATAACCCTACCATATACTTTTCCTGGTATACTCAGTAAACTTATTCCTCTATAATTTTTACAATCTCTTTTGTTCCCTTTCCCTTTATATAAAGGGACTATACATGCTCTCCGCCAATCCCAAGGTACCTTCCCCTCTTTCATACATTTATTAAACAAAAGTACCAACCACTCCAACACTATATCCCCCCCTGCTTTTAACATTTCTGTCATGATCCCATCAGTTCCAGCTGCTTTACCCCCTGGACATATTCTGTTTTATTCTGACTGCTTCCAATTGGGAAATAAGACTTTAGTCACTAAAGTAATCTCTGTACATATATGTTATATCTAGGATCTCCTCCTAATCATGTGTTATAAAAGCCTTATATATTTTGGACTATATAGAATAAACAAACATTCTTAACCCTTTCAGGGTCCGTCCCGTAGATCTACGGCTTTACGGTGAGTGTCCAAACCGTAGATCTATGCCATGAGCTCAGCTCACTCTGATAAACTGTGAGTGGTACATTTGGGCCTAGATATGAGAGAATACATCTATGTGGTATGTGTGCACCACATAAAACAGATCCTGCAGCACGCTGTGTATAAGAGAGAAAAAAACTGAAATCATGATTTTTCGATTAAAACAGCAACTTTGCAGTGTTTTTTCATATGTTTTTTATAGTTGTATTTGCGATTTCTTGGTCTCATTTGATAGAATGGAAGACATATTACAGAAATAGAGATGATTTTGATTGGTTTTAGCACTGGAAATGGCTTGAAACTGAGCTCAAAGTAGCGGAAATGTTAAATTTTTGCCGATATTCAAGAGTAAACAAACGACCTCACACGTCTAATACACGTCAGCTGGTGGGTTTAATATACATTCACAAATATGGTGATGATATTTATACAATTATTACAGTATTGCATAACAGTAAATCTTCTATTTTTTGGTGTGAATAAAAATTCATTATGTGAATAAAAAATCAAAATGGAATTTATTTGTAAAGCCTCAAAACATAACTAATGAACAGAGGAAATGTTAGTTTAGTGCCAGAAATGCCTTCATTGTTTATTCTGGACCCTATTTTGAAATTGGAATATTTTGAACTTTGTGTTAAATTGGCCAAATTAACAATTTCCGATCACTTTATTTTGTAGTTGAAACAGTTGACTTGGCGATTTCTTGTGCTCAATCAATAGAATAGAAGTAATACTAGTGAAATAGCTAAGAATTTGGTTGATTGGAATAATGTAATTGGCCTAAAATGGG